ATGTTACTTAATGGATTTAGAAAAGCTCTCCCTTCCTTTCTCACCCAAGAAGGCCTATGGAGGTGTCTGAGGAGCTGACAGCCTTCTGAATGCAGCTTGGTTCCCATTCCAATGATTAGAAACGGAAGGTAAGAGGAACCCCTTCGTCTCCAGGACAGGACTACTGTGTAGTGGGATGAGAAATGTTATTTTAGGTGATGTCACTCAACTGAGGCTGGGACCCCAAACTCCCAGCACCATATCCCTCTACAGACAGTGGCAAGATGAAGTTGTCAGAGGGCAACAGATCCTCCTCTCAGGTCTGACTCTCCCACCCACTTTCTCCATTGGGAATGGGGAAGGGATAACGCCTCTCCCTTCCTCCTCAGGTTAATGTCTTCAGTGCTGATAGGAAGGTGGAAGGAATATGACCCACATGTTTCCACTGGGTCTGGCAACAGATGGGTGTAGAATACATGCAAGGCATGTCTTCGGGATGTTCCTCTCTTTGGCTTGCTTTTACCTTTCCTTCTGCTATTTAATCCTTGTCCATAGCAGTGGGCTTTGAATACTGATATAACACGTGGACAGTCACATCAGCTGTCCGCTCTCCAACAATGTCAGATAGATGGAAAAAGATAAAGAGTAGAGCAAGTATGCATGATACTTCCACTTTATACATCCTCCACCTTTTAGTTCAGAGATTCCCCAGACTTAATGAGGTTTCTGTGGATTCTGTGGATTTAACAATCCTCGTTGGATTTCTCTCCACCCTCTCAGCACCCTCCACCTTCTCTCAGCTGTCTTTTTACCAAACTGATGAATCCCAGAAACTCAGCCCCTCCTGTACAGAAGTTGTCCCAGGTATCTGCCCGTGTCATTGTCTTCCATCCATTATCAAGTGACAGTGATGTTCTCTAATAATTCCTAACATCTGATTTGCTTTTTTGACTCTTTTTGAGGACTGGGGTGATACTTTTGTATAACAGCCTCCCACAGTCACAATTCCCTCTCTTTTGTAGTAGTGGTTAGTGTAATCTTAACCATTCCAGTTTAAGAAAATATAAGTGTTGTACCTAAAAACAAAGAGTGTCTGTCAGAGACCTCCATAGGTACAGGTTAGAAAACTCTGTGAAATGTGGCACATAAAGCATATAACATCCAGAAAAAAAAAAGATTTCTGGAGCTAGACAAAACCAGACCTGCTACAATAGCATTTGGACCCAGAAAGGTGATGGCTGGTGGCCTGACACAGTCTGCTGAGCAGCTGGGCCAGTACATCACACGAGCAATTTATTCCAGCACCTCTTTTACTGAAAATGAATAACAAAACCTTAAATAAATCAACAATTACTTATTGCTTTGTATTTGGGATAATAAATTCTTTAGTTTATCAGTAGCTTGTGGCTTCCATGGCATGTTCTTTGAACAGTTTGCCTTCAGATACATCCCCTTTATCTCATCTGAACAATAAATTAGCATTCTTTTTTTTTTTTAAAGGAAAAGAGGGGGGAAAAGAGGATACATAATATTTTTCAAAGCAAAGAGAAAAATGCAACATATTTTTGACATATATCTTAAAATAATATGAGGATAACTTTCTCTGCATGTTAGATGACTATGCATAAATAATAAAGGACATTATGTTATTTACAGTGTTACACAATAAACTAAGAGACCCTCTTTTAACACATAATCCATAAAGACAGTAAATGATGAAGAAAACATCCAAGTATGTACAGGATGCATGTACAGTAGAGCAGAGAATTACAAATGATGATATGTGGCCGTTTTCTTTGTCTGCTTTTCTCTGCAGCATTTCATAGGTACTGTTTTTGTTTTGTGTTGTTTTAATCAGAAGTAAGTCCACATTGTTGGTATATAGCCACGCTGCAGGGCTGAGAAGCGGCTTTGCTTATGTTCGACTGCCGGAGATGTGTCCATTGAGGGAACACAAGCTGCTATCCGGGATGCACAAGTAACTGCTCGTGATGTGTGTGATGATTCAGTGGCTGGAGAGAAGCGGGGAGATGCAGGGTTGTTTTGGAGGACTGAAAAGAGAAGGAGATTCACTGTTTTCCTGATAAAGTCACTGTTTTTTTTTTTTTTTTTTTTTTTTTCTCAGTCCAGAGGCTGTTGAGATGGCCCAGATGAGGAAGGGAATGGCTGAGCCAAGAGGAAGGATTAAGTTTTCCACTGGTGAAAATGGGCTTGTGTGCTGCTGTACTGATTAACACCAGCTAAACAGGCAAGCTGTGCTGGGCTGTGCACAGCATCTTCCAACTATGCGCCCTTGAAGGGGGCCTTTTAGTCATGGAGAAGTTCTGCATATAAACATACACGCACGCACACATACATACGCACACTCATACACTCAGAGAAAACCTACAGTCTAAGTTAAATAACATGGAAACCACAACAATTTGAGTAACTTCACAGCCTCTGTAATACTTTACCCCTCTTCAAAGCACATTTCTCCTTGCCGTGATTCTCAGCCAAAGGCTGGCAAGGATGACACAGTGCTGGCCCGAGGGTAAAGGCCCTAGCACAGAGGTCTGGGAAATGGAGCAATTATCCCCAATAGAGGAGCTGGCCTGTCCCTTGTGGACTTGCTGGCTCTGCTCCCTACGTGCAGTTTGCTCCCTAGTGTCAAGCCCAGCACGGGCTGGCTGCAGCCTGTCAGCAGAACCTGGGTCCATATAAAGCTGCTGACTTTGGGGTGAGGACTTGGCTGAAGCGGATGCCTATCGTTCCCACAATACGCTAAAAGTAAGTGCAGAGGTGATGGGGCCACGTTCTGCTCCCAGTTCAGTGAGTGCCAAGCCAGGGAAACTCCTGTTGCTCGCTGTTGCATGAGTTGTACTGCAAGGCTGGGTTCTCCCCAAAGACCTAAGGGCTCAGGCTGCCAGATCCCCAATTGTATTTCTTTGGTCTTAGGTCCGTTTGAAGGCCCCAGCTTTCAAGCTAGCTTATACCCTATAGTGCACTACCATGTGTAGGGGAAGGAGTAGGAGCTTGGACACTACTTTGACTTCGAGGCACTGCAACAGGAGAGGTGTGACATTTTGCACTAGAGCCAGGCTAAACAAATGGCACAAGTGCAACTCCAGGCATGCAGTGGCTCCTCCCTTTTCTATCGGCCCTCTATAGTCAGAAACAGTTTCGGTAAATTCAAATAATTTACTCCACTTTGAAGTAAATTTCCTCTCCATCCTGTCTAGATGATGACAGTCACCTCAATGTGAGCTGACCCCATGGGTGATCTATACTGGAGGAGATTACAAATGCCGTGGGCAATAATCTCTAGTCTGCCACTAAGATGAGTGATTTTGGACAAATCGCTTCTTTCTCTGCCATCCTGTTTCAGTCTTGTCTGTTTTGTAAGCATTCTGTAAGCATCTGAGATATAAAAGACTATATTGAAAGAATGGGTTTTTTAAGAGCCTCTGGTAAGTCAACAGCACAAGTCTCCTGGAAACTCATGTTCTGCAGCTGGATAGGCATCAGGAAAGCCAGCCTGACCCTCCTGTACTGCTGGGCTGCAGAGCGACTGGGGAGGTATGCATGGGAATGCAAGTCTAACGCATAGGCTTGATTAAAGAGATGAAAAGGAGTATATTGTACCAGGAATATGAAGAGAGCTCTTGTTCAGGTGTTGGGGTAATGCAAAAGCAAGCTGCAGTCAACTACATGCCATGTAGGGTAAAATGACAAGAGAGGACTTGAGTCCTGGCAGTATGAAGGTGACAAACTGCAGTCTCCCAGAGGCTTCTCAAATAAGCAGTACTGTTTCAGGCATTATGAAGGCCAAAACTGAGCTAGTCAGTCTTTGGCTTCCTACACCAACATCCTAGTTTCCAACTTTGTCATCATTTTCTTCTCTTTCCAAAGTATTTTCATTTTCTGCTGGTTCTGATGATCAGATAAACTCCTCCGCACTCTTATTAGCATGACAGTCACTGGCCCATACAGTGACCAACTCACTGATTTTCATCACCCCAATAAACAGCTTCATTTGCTAGTCTTTGCCACTAGCTCCCAAGTCTATAGGACACCTTGTTCAGCAAAACCCTTAAGCACATGCCTAACAATGCATACCCGTGATGTGTCAATGGGAGTCTAGCACATGCTGAAGATACGTTTTGCTGTGATTAACATAAGCATATGCTCAAATAATTTACTGAGTCAAGACCTTAGCTCCTCTGGTTCACATCTGACAAAACTTCCTTGACTTATTTCTCTTCATTTAACTGGGACCAGAACGTGGCCCAAAGGATGAGTGTAGTTTGGCTGAAATTTCTCTTGACATGGCTCTTATTTAGAGTCCAGTAATACCTGTAGAACATATGTTCTCATTTTCAGAATCCCCAGAGTCCAGGCAAAACATTTGTTTTCCACATCAATCCTGAGTCTGTGTTGTGCCAACTGAACATACAACAAAAATCAAACGAAGAGAAGAGGCAGAGTGACCCTGACTAAACTGATAGGAATTCAGTGCAAAAGAGGCCGTTTGCTTCTATCTGAAAGGGTGCAACCGTTCCAGTACTGACAGCACTTTGTCCATCGCCAGTCCAGGACTCTAAGGCCATCACTGGTCGTATGAACATCCGTAGTAGATACCTATGCACAGTACGGCTGTGACCCTCGTGGTGTGCTTGCCTTCGTAAATGGGCTTTGCATCAGCCTTGCCTCCCCTCCCCTCAAAGAGCTGAACCAATAAAGGCGACTAGAAATTAACTCCATCCTTCTGCTATGTCCTTCCTACCGTCTACGCTTTCTAACCATTCGGCAAATCAGTTCTTCCCTGAAAGTCACTTCTGTGTCCAGGAATGGCTCTTACTACTGTAACAGCAACGCTAACAAGTTATTGCTAGAAGCTTGTCAGGGTTCCTTTTTTTTTTTTTTCTTTTTTTCTTTTTTTTTTTTTTTGGAGGAGGGGAAGAAAGGGGAGAAAATTGAGGGGAAATAAAAGGGTAAATAATCTATTAAAAATCAACATTAAAAATAGAGGTGAAAACTGATTGCACTTTTATTAGTGGCATTTGTTTTCCAGCTAGATCTCTTCCTTGTTTGGTTACAGATATCTGCTATAATATTTGCCCCATTAACTTAAACTAATAGAAATTTTTTTCTTTTTTTTTCTTTTCTTTTTTTTTTTTTTTTAAATAGAGTATTGGGTTCAAAGCCTCAGCTAACATGAACCCATTTCCTAAGGGATAACTAGAACAATTAATATTTGGAAAATAATGAAATGACAGCTCCTAGTGAGTATAAGCTGACCTCTGATTAATAATATATTTGGTTTAAAATCACAGTATTACTTTCTTTCTATAAGTAACATTATTTAATGCAGGTTTTTTGTTATCCTGCTGTAATTAATAGTAGCATGCTGCTTTATCTACATTTATCCCCGTGCTCAATGAAGCAAACCTTTCGGCTGGCATAGAGCAGACAAAACTCATTTCATATACGAAAAGCAAATAAAACTTCTTATAGAAGAAAACTTGTTTTTGTTTTTTTGTCTTTTTTGATTTTTTTTTGTATTTTTGTGTTTTTTTTTTCCTTGTGATGTGGGTAGGGTGGGAGTGCCATTATAGGGAGTTTGTTTGGGGAATTCTACTGCAAGCAAACAGAGGGACTTTTGCAATTCTTGCAACTCATACATCCAGTCATTATAATGCAGTGCACAAAAGCTAGGACAACTAAAGGTTAGAAGGTTTTGCAAAATACTATGGGACAGCAATCATTGTAACTGTACAAAACTTGCTCTCAACATAACGTAACATAAAGGCACCATTGATATCTTTCTCCATTTTTGAAATACTGTAAAAAATTGCTACATATGGCACATAACACATTTGTACATACATATATTTAATTTATAAAAGGTTTTTTTTTTCCTCTCCTGTTTTCTATCAGCGGAATTGCTAAAATAAAATAAATTGTTTAATTTAAAGGTGGAATACTTCATTATATAAAATAAAGTTTTACATGTGAATCTATGTGTTTTGTTTATGTTTTTTTCTTTTTTTTTTTATACAGCGATAGGGTCTTGGTTAGCTATTACACTGGACAACCTTGCTTGCAACTCTTCTGGTGTGGAGAAGCGATTCGCCGGGTTAGTCCTGCTCTCGGCCAGCCGGTACGCGGTGGCCGGCTCCAGACTGGTGGCCATGGGGTTCGGTATGCTCAGGAAAGGTGTATCCTCACCTATTCTCTCGTCTTCTGTTTCACTCTCAGAGCTACTGCTCCCAGAGCTTGTGTCGGAGCCCATTTCCACTCTGCTGGAAATGTGGCCATTGGGCTTTGTTCTTTTTACCCTCCGGCTGTTGGCGAGTTTCTTTGGAGGCTCCTGTGCTGGTTCGTACTCCTGCGTGGTCTCGTACTCTTCGTCCTCCACGATCCGCAGAGGACTGGGCGGCAGGCTGCTGCTCTCATGGGCAGGGTTGTGGTGGAAGGAGTTGAACTGCTGCTGGAGGTGGTGCTCGTACTTGTCCCGGAGCCGCGGCGGCGTCACCAGGAGCAAGGGCCTCTCCTCTTCCACGAAGGGACTCACTGCCACTGAAGGGATGGACACAGTCAAGCTGGAAACCGGTGGAGACATTTCGGAAGGAGGAGTCTTGGGAGAGGTCGGCGTGTGGAAATCTTCGGGCGACATGCGAGCTGGTGTGGTCATAGCTGAGACATACCTTGAGAAAAGACACAAAAAGGGGTTGCAGCCACCTAGGTGGTGACACACAAACACGGCTGCTCATGCTCATGTGGGCTGTGGAGGGAAGAGGCAGAGGTCTCTCTTGGGATCTCCAGCATCCTCACAGAAGTTGGTGACCCCAAGATAAACATTGTGAGGACTATACCATGTGAGCCTATGAAACCACTATTTTCTGGTACTCTGAGGGGAAAAAAATGAGAGAAAAAGGAGCATGGCAAACCTGCCTGGTCAGTTTGTCTGGGATGAATCAGGGAGATGATTATTGGCCAGAATAAACTTCTGGAATAAAGCCAGGAATGGGATACAGAGCCTGGAGGGCAGACAGAAACAAAAGCCGCTTACAATGGAAGAACCCAAGGAAAAGGCTGCAGCATGTCAGGTCAGTATTTGCCCAGGGCTAGAGACACGTGAAAGCAAACAGGAGGCAAGGCAAGTCAAGGAACCAAGGGCCTTCCTTGTGGGGCTTCGCCCTCTTTGTCTCCAGCAACTAGACTGTCTTAGCCTAACCAAACCATTTGTCCAAAAAAATATAGCTATCTTCTGCCAGCTTTAATCACTAGGGGATAGCAGGTAAAGGATTTACAGCATTGTCCCAGCAGCTCTGTAGTGTTCCAAGCCTGGTAGGACGGTTGTCTTGGCTCCTGGACAAAGACACATGAGTGCTCTGCGCAGGCCCGAGGCATGCCCAGGGATCCAGGGTGTGTCCAGGGAGGTTAAATGACAGAGGTGGACTCCCTGACACTGAAACTCATTGGGCTGGGTTTCAAAAGCAACTGGAGGTTCCTTCCCTGGCAAATTGCAATAGGCATCTGCCTGAGCACTTGTTAAGTCATCTCCATGCTGCAGCTACTGCCTTGCAACACTGCTCTGGTCCCAAAACAACATGAAATAGAGCTTTTTTAAAAAATGCCAGATTTTGCTTCAATGCAATATGATCCTTTTGAGTTTTGTTTCAGGTTTTGAAGGATTAAAGTTGTTATTAACACTGTTGTTATTCCTGGCATGTTTACATACTGGCAAGGGTTTCCTTGCTTGTTTTGCTGGGGACCAGCATCCAAACTCCACACAGAATGTTCTGCTGCAGTTTCATAAACCTAAACATGAACCATAATTCATCCTCCTGTGGGAACAAGTGCTGACACACAGGGCTGTCTAGCTTCTCTCTGCTAAATTTGCCCCTATCTCATCACAATTCCTGCAGGAAGGGTAGTGTTTAAAGGCGATTTTTGAAAGGGGCACTCAGGTGCCATCATAGAGCTTTTATTTTCAGGGGAAGAAGACAAAAAAAGTAAGACTCTCAGCTGGTTTGAATTAGTACAACTGTGTGAGATGCTATGAAGTCATGCTGTTTCCTGACAGGCAAGGTCTGCCTAAAAATCTTTGGTCAAAGGCACAGTGCCTGACATGACATTTTGCATAGCTTGGTTTTATTTTCCCTCTTATCCAAAGTTCACCTGCTTGAATTTCATCTGTGTCCTAATTCAAAATCTTTCAAAGCTCTCACACAATAAGAATCCCAATGGGACATGATAGGCTGTGGTTGATGAAGTTACTTAGTTTTTCATTACCGATTTATTTATTTGAGTCTGAAATTATGAAAAAAAAATGAATTCATATTTTTGGTTGATTTGGTTCATATATTCCCCTTAACTAAGACAGAGTTATGAGATAGACAAGGACAGATCCTGAACTGATGGGATACAGAGTAAAAAGCTTTCAGTAGAGGTACACAGATTTACAGCAACCAAAAAATAGGAAATTAATAAAAATCCTAGAGTTATGTATGGAAATTAATTGAGCTACTCACCTAGCTAGCCACCAGGAAAAGAAAATGTGAATTGGTAAGTCTGTGCACTGAATGAATGAAAACTTTTCTTTTTCTCCCACACATTAGTGACCTTTTCATCATTTTAAAAATTTTGAATTGCTGAGAACTGAAACCTTTCTACTTCTCCAGCTGATACAGCAGTGGACATAGTGCCTTAATAGAACAAGGTTAGCTGAACTCCACTGTGTCAAGAAAATCAAAGTTTGCTGAACATATTTGGTACTATTCCATCACAATAAAAGTATTTATGCATTTCACATACGCGAAATACATTTTGCATTTACAGTTTTGGTATATTTTCACACACTGTAATGGGATAGTTTTTCCTAACTACTGTCTGTGAGCTGATACAGAAGAGCTGAACATCCACAGTTCTATTCCAAGCCTATCCCAAAGGGAAGGCTAAAAAGCAGTAGTTCAAATCCTTTTCATGGCAAATGAGATGAACCAAGCTGGTGCATTGAAAGGGGCTCAGAGTGTGTCCACACTCTGTTGACAGACATTAGCTAGCTAGATACTGCTAACTTCATCATATAACCCAGCCTCTGCAGCAGAGATGGTACTTATGAGCTCCTCTGCTTAAGGTGGCTAACAAATCTCAAAAATATAGGTGACCTCACTTATGTTGTGTGTTCCAATGGAGGAATGTCACAGTCAGTCTGCTAAAGTCTATTCTGAATTTATTCCAAAATTTTGAGGCATTTCAGAGGGTAAAAGGAATGCAGCTCTGATTTACTAATTTACTGCACAGCAACATTTGATTGCTTCAGGAAATCATTTGTTAGCTTGCGCATTCTTTTATGTTTCAGAGTCATTTTAGTTGCAAATAACTCTCATTTTCTCTCTTATATACACATGCATACATGCAATCCATCTCTAAGAAATAATCTGCCATGTATTTCCTGCAGGCTAAAAATAGATGAGGCCTAATTCAATGCCCAGGGAAATATCTTCTGTATTCTGAATCTCAGGCATAGGCTAAGCCAACAGATCCTTGTGAATTCCCACAGAAATGCTGTTCTTTCTCCTCTGTAAAGTAATTTTCAAGAAACGCAGTAATTTGCAAAAAAACTTCTTTCTTCTAATTGAAATGGAAAGGCACACCTTCCTCTTTCCCCTATAAAATATACATAGCTTATAACATAGCGCTGCTTTGACTATTCAAGGAAATCCAGAAACTGCTCCTCACCTGTAAAGCCCCCAATATACTAAGGTATAATGTATGTCATCTGCATGTGGCAGTGTGGCAGTGTAGCCCCTGTGGATCCCAAGCGAAAGACAACGCAATATTTATTGCTATAGGGCCTGATCCAGCAAAGCACTTAAGTACGTGCTGAGCTTTACCCATATGAGTAATCACACTGTTTTCAATGGGACTACTCACATGATTAAAAGTTAATCATGTGTTTAAGTGCTCTCCTGGATTGGGGCCATGGCTGTTTATGTCATGTGAGCCACACTTCCTGAAAATTAAATTCCGTGGCAAATTACAGTTGCTTTTTCACAAGAAACCTACAGCAAGAAGAGGGCTGGATTCATGATGCTTAGCATGGTCCCGCTGTGCTTAGAGAGCTCACAGCCATGGTTCATTGCCCTGCTGATATACAATTCTTCGTGTAGTGGTGGGAACACCATGGAAATGGCTTCTCCTCCCCTTGCACAGTCATTTTTATGGAAACCAACGACATGTCTCCCATGCCACTCAGCCCCCCTGGGGCCTATCTGATTATATTTTTGATGTCGTGGACTTCCCACAAGATCAAACCCCTTGCAATTTCACGGTTCACAAAGAACCAATCCAGAAATGGTTTGTCTTCTCTTGATTGCTGGGATCAAAAATTCTGGGCTGGGTTTTTATTTCAAAAGCATGAGATGGCCCCAGAGTAGTTAAATAAAGACTGAGAACACTGAAGAGAGTTTTGATGGTGAGAAGACTTTTCCAGTAAAAGCTTTTTCTCAACGGATCTATTTCAAGGCACACCTTAGGTATCAATGAACCAGTCTTTTCTGGGAAAAAATTATTTTGCTGGAAACTGCCCAGCCAGCTTTGCTTGTAATTACTCTTGATTTAATAATGGCCTGGCTTCTCCTGGCTTGCAAACTGTGTACTTTACAGTAAAGATTTCTGACAAGTGGACCTTACAAGGATAAGGACCTTATCCATATGTGACCTTCTGCCTGCAAGGACTAAACTTGGAAAAGGCCACGAGGGAAGACTTTCAACCACGCTTTATGGATCAGGTGGCTGCAGTACCTTTCGCTGTGGGGAGAGTCTCGGTACGAGTCCGGGGTCTCTCTCGCATGCCGGAGGAAACTGCTGCTCTCGCGGGGGCCGCCGATGCCGTTGAGGCGCCCGCGTGGCCCCCCGGGGCTGGCGTGCCGGCTATTTTCCATGGAAGAGCTTGCCAGCACGGAGCGGCTCTCGGAGAGGATGCTCTCGGTGTGACCGTTACTCCAACTGTAGAAGGAGAGAAAGGGAGGCATGAGACAGTGGTTTGGTTGGAAAGACGAACCAGGAGGACGTGGACCAGCAGTTTAGGACAGGGTTAGGAGAAACTTTTAGAGGAGTTTCTAGAAGTTTCTAGAAGTTTTTTCTAGAAGCTTCTCCTGAACTGGAACTCCAGAGTTTTGAGAGTTGTGTGAACCCAAGTGCAGCAAGATGGTTATGCAAGCTTAGGAGAAGGGGAAGAGGAGGACAGTTTCCAGCTATCAGGAGCAGTGACCACTCTTTAAAACAAAAGTCTTGTTGTCACTGAAAATTCATACTAGAAATCACAACTAAAATCCATACTAATTTATACTAAAATTCCCAGTATCAGTATTGGAATATCAATCAGTGAAAAAAGGTCTTTTCAACCACTTTAAAAGACAACTGGTTAGATGACATTACATCAAAGACCATCATACCATATAATTAAAACCGTATGAGAGAGGACATATATTTTCTTGGTTTACATTTTCTGGATCTTTCTGGGGACCTGCAGAGGGGGAAAGATGTGTGGGAGCCCTTCCAAGATCTTTTAACACATCTTTTCTGTTCATGCAACCACAAGAGAACTGAGACTACAGGTGCAGTTTGTGTCCCCACTCCAGTACCTGTGGCTGGGTGTCTGGGTGACTGTCGTGGAGTGATGTGTGGTTGAAGTGTAGTGGCTTGTGGAAAATGATGTCTCCGTTTCTCGCTCAACAGCATGCTCGCTGGAGATCACATTTTTCGAAACGTACTGCTGAAAAAATAACCAGACAAATCACAGGTTTACAGCCCGGAATTCACAGCACATCTGCAGACATATTTCTTGCTGTTTGCTCTTTTCACAACGACCGTTTTTCCTACAGAGAGCAAAGCACAAGCTTTGTCACCCAAGCACGCTTCAGCGCGTTCATATACAACTCTGTGCACACTTCTTCTCTAAACTAAAAACAGAAGGGAACAAATGAGGAAATTAGTGAAGGGCTTCATCCCAACCATGCTATAAACAACATGCATATGTTACACGGAAATGAGAAGTCCTCGTGGACAAAGACTTGGAAAGGCAATCCACCCATTGCTACTACATACATCAAAAACACTGTTCTCTGATGGAGAACACAGCAGCACTTAATTAATCCATTTGTTCATTGCACTGTAAGAATCTGGCCAGGAAATGGTTGTTTTCAGTGCCAAGGGATACCCCTCACAGAACGGAGCCACCAGCAGTTCAGGGCCCCAAAGCCCTGTGCAGATGGTACTGGGGACGAGCAGCACCCAGGCTTTCTCTGGGGTCTCCTCTGAGCTCACCAGAAACCCTGTTTGCTGGTGGGCCTCTCTCTTCTCAATGGGAACTCCTGCTTTCCCCACTTTTAACATCCCGACTGCGCAGGGGAGATGCTGGAAGTTGAGCTCTCCTGAAAATGAGTCTTGGCTTTAGCCGGGGCCAGTGGGAGTGTTGCCATGGGCTTCTTGTAGCCAGGGCTCCCCCCTGTGCTGGGCTGCCACTGACGTTGACGTGACGATGGAGCAGCGGAGCGGGGTAAGCACAAGGCCGCAGGAAGGCCCGGCCTTCCTCCCCGGACACAGGGCTCCTGCTGGGATGGCTGGAGAGGAAGAAGCGGCTGAGCACGGGGCGAGCCCCGAGAGAGGGCGAGTCCATGGGGTGAGCCCTGGCTCTGGGAGAGGCCAGAGCAGGCCCTGAGCAGGAGCCCGCTTGGCGCCTCGCTCTGGCAAGAGGCTGCAGGGATGCTGGTGGAGTATCTGCCTCAGGCTCATCTCACTGGCCAAGCACGCGTCCTGTGCTACTGTCCAAGTGAGGTTTTTATCCAAGCTTCTACTCCCAAAGCTTTTTATTTTTTTAACTCCTTGTTGCTTTTTTTCTTACGCAGTATTTTGGTTAACGATACCTAACTTCTTTGCCTTCCTCAATCAAAAGTCCCATATTGTCATTTCTGTTTTGGATGAGAAGCCTGTTTTGGAGGACTACAGAAACTGGAAATACAATGAGCCCAGTTCCCTGGGTGCTCCTGGTGTCTTGGAGATTGAAGCACAAGTTCATGGGTCGTGCTCCAGATCAAAGGGGCCTGCTCTACTCACCAGCCATCAAGTCAGTAACCAGTCATCAAGCCAGTAGGAAGAATAAGCCAATATCTGCTTGAAGTAAATGATCCCTTTGCACACACTCAGTCCTATTCTCATGCTGTTATTCATTTTTTTTATTTTTTCTGAGGAAATACTTCTCTTTTTACTGAATGTTTATGGCTTAACTTCTAAATGACTCTGGGTTGAGAAAGCCAAGAGATACCAGTCACCAGTCTGGCGCAGTTACAAGTTACAAATTCAAAAGCCGTGGGACAAATTTTACCACAGTTCAAGCAATCTGGTCTTAAACACGGGCAGTAAAACTTACATTGACTAGCTGGACGTTATCTGGCGGCGGGTTGGGGTGGTGTGGACCATTGGCCATGTTCACCATGTTGTTCCTCTCCGAGCGCAGGCTCTGCCGAAGGCGGTCGTGCAACTTCTTCCTCTGCTTCCTGCAGACGGAACACAGGAATGGTCTTAGTGGACAAAGGAAAGCAGCTGCACCTTCCAGTGTGATGATGATGATGAAGATGATGATAACAATAATATAAATGCACTCTATAGCCAACACTTCCCCCACTGCTGCAAGGTCTCAGAGTAACTCCTAACACCTCAGATCTAATTGCAGCTGGGGCTGTGGGGACCTGCAGAGAGGGAAAGATGTGTGGGAGCCTTTCCAAGAGTGAGCAGACCACAGAGGGACATGAAAAAGTGAGAGGAAGAAGAAAGACATTTCCAAGCTGCACCCCATCTCATGAAGAGAGCTTCTCTGCATTTGACTGGAAGAGGGGCAGGGATTTTAACCAGCCATCCTGCCATCCTCACCAAGGCCAAGTCACATTTTTGATACCTCACTGAGTTATGCTTATTTCTGCAGTTTTTATTTTTGTTCTCTTAGGCAGAGCAAGTCATATGTTAATGACAAAGGCACCAGGACTCAGGCCATCTGAGATACTGCAGACAGACACTTTTCACAGCATTTGTCCCCTATGGCCGGAGTGCACTCCAGAGCTTCAGCTTCCATTTAAAAGTTTTAAAGAAGACAAGGTAGCCAAGTCTCCCAAGTGCAAAGTGAGTGAGTGTGCAAGGCATGCCTGAGTCTGCAGGCTCAGAAAGATTTCCTTTCTGCAACATCAGATTAACTCTGGAACCGAATGATTACCAGATGGATGTCAGGGCTGTTAATGCATTCAGCAGATCCATCCATCTTCCATGCCAGTGCCATTGCTGACTTGGACACTTCTTGTGCCCAGACCTGAAGTGCTGCTTTCCCATTTGCTAACCCTTTGGGATCTCCTCTGGAGAACTTTTAGGACATCATTAGGAGCTGTCAGCAACAAAGGTTGCAGTGTGCTAACGCCTGAAACCATGGAAGCCATGCAAAATGCACTAGATTTAAAATCAGAATAAGTCACTGTGGATACTGCTGTTCAGTTTCACACTTAATTTATCAGTATTCCCCACTTTTGTCTGATTAAACTGGAAAATGTCCACCATCCTGCCACAGGATCTATGGAAATAAAAGGAGGATGCCGGCTCCAATGCACTGCAGAGTGTGTATGACCTTGGCTGTGGCAAGAGCTGAAACACACACAGTTCCCTAAGCTGTATGCAGAACTGCAGATATTTTTGGCAGGACAGGACACCGAAGAATATAACCACTTTCAAACCCGTTCTGAACTCAAGGGGACTATTTCAGACTTGCCAGAATGGAGAGGGGAGGGAAAACTACAAAAATGTTGATGCTCGATAGCCAGGGAAGCTTAAAGACAAAGAAAACACCGCTTGACATGCTGTATTTTTACACTCTGTGTGTATGTGCTTGGAGAGAGGATGACAGTTAATTTATGTGACTCTGTATGAATGGTTTTAGCATCCACTGCTGCTTTGAGATTGCTGCTGTCCCCGTGCGAGCCAGTCCTTGGTCTGTGTGGGATTTCTCTTTGGAGAATAACTAGGCTACAGCTAGCTAGCCATCACATTGGACACGTGATGTTCATCATCTATGGGCCCAAAAGCCTTGGGAGTCTGTCCCTAGGAATCCACAAAATTTTTGACCTTCAGCGATCCATATATTTGCATTTTCCATGCTTCTCTGTGTGACATTTGTCCTCTAGCTAATGAAAGTTAACTAAAAACTGTGGAACTCTGGGAAACTGAGAGGAATGAAAAATGGGAATGTGAATGAGTGCTTCACTTTTTATGTCAAGTCTCCTTATTAAGGTAATTACCTTAATTTGCAATTTAATCAGATTTGCAAATAAAGCACATCTGAATCAAGATGTGGTGTTAGAAGATCTTAGCACTTGCCCAGCAGCATCTCTTGCAGAGAGACCCACAAGATCTAGGGCATTTCATATTCTTTACTGTGTTTTCCTCTGCCCATTGCAGAATTTCCTTGCATTTCTGGGTTTTCCCTCAGCAGGAGGAAGGCACACATGGAAAACAGCTCTTGGACAGCAGTGCTGCTGCATCTGGAGGGCCAGGAATGGGCCGCTCCCCTTCAATCTCTCCAGACATAAATGAATACATTTTACCCCTGGCTGTAAATGATCCCAGAGGTCCTGGGGAAACTCTGACAAACCATCCTTGCTCCTGATGGATTCTAGGAGCTCTTCATAGAAAAAAAAATGCATGTCAACGTCCTGACTCTACATTTGTTGCGATTCATGAGTATCCCTTCACTGGTTTCAGCAAACTTTGGATCACAAAAATTTTTGTTTAGCTGCCCTGGTTTGCCAGTTGTCATTTGCAAAGATGATAACTGATCTGCTTATTGTTATTTCAGTGGTTCCTAACTCCCAGCAGACTATTGGCAGGAAGCTTCTGGTTGGGAGCAATGTGTGTGTAGTTAAAGAAGGGTAACTGCTCTGTGCCCGCTTTCCACTGCATCAATCACTGATGAGGCCTGAAGTAAAATCTTACAAGGAAACCCAAAGCAATTGCAAATCAAGATCAAGACAGTAAATCTACAGATTTACACAAATGTGTAAGATTTACAATAAGTTTGTTTTGTGTTTTGGTGGGGAGATTTATAAAAGCAGCAGGCACATTTGCCAGCACATACTCTGCTGATACTATGTAAAATTTATGGTCCAAAATGCCTGTTTGCATCTTTGAGAGTTGCCCCCAATAATTTATGGAGACATCACAGAATGCATTTAACGGCACATTTTTGCACTGGGAGCACTTTTCTGTTCAGTTCTTTGGCCTTTGGTATTTATTAACTCTTGCTGCTGTTAACTTTGCTTTCAAATACAGAGCATCTAGGCTGATCTTTAAAATTTACTGCTGGATATCAAAATGATTCCAGTGTTGTGATTTACTCCCTCTCAGCTGGAGAAAGCATGAATGTACAGTAAATGAAGAACTGAAAGTCAGCAAATTCACTCATTCTACACTCAAAAGGTGAGGAATGTGCCATATATCTGTGTTATTTTTGCACTGATGTTTGACATAGACAATTGTACCCACCTGGCTTAGACAAAAGTATTTTAGTTATATGTTTGTCTCTTTGACCCAAGTCTGGAGAAACACAGAGTGCAACTTCACTCTCAAAGGAGCAAGAACTACAGTCAACAGGAAAAGCCCTGACCAATGATCATAGATATAAAAAGAAAGAGGAAAGTTTACTTGGTTTTGCAGTAGGCCACCACACACATGATGCCAACCACTAGGAGAGCAATGCAAATGCCAGTTATGGTCAGCACGCGTTTCTGGTACAGTTCCTCAGCTTCTAGAAAGGGACAAAAACAGAGAAGGTCACGACGTGAAGGGCGGCTCGGCAAGAAATACATGGTCAACATTTGGCATGCTACACACCACGGCACAGATCCACACAGTCACACCAAAACACAACCACCACACTTCAGGCAAACTCATTTTGGACTGTGAGAGGAGCAGGGCTATAACTTAAGCTCTCAGCAAATTACTGGGGACTAGTGAGCATCCATCCAAATAAAGTCAGAATTAATCTTTTTTTTTTTTAATGTTAACAAAAATAATACGAAAGAAACAACTCTACAGTTGACAAACATTCAGCATTTTCTGGAAATAAAAATGCAGTGCACTAAAGTAATAACATGAGTTTGCAAACACTTTGGAAGATTTTCTCTTGCAAAGACTGCTGGAATAAAAGCCAATTTTATGGACCTTGTGATCAACTTATTTTCTAATTTTCTTCTTCTTTTTTTTTTTTTCTTTTTTTTTTTTTTAATCCAATGCTGCTTTTTGCCCTCATGTCAATTTATATCTCAGTGGTCTTTACAGGAGAGATTTCAAAATATCTTCTACATTTGAGACATGAGCTTGGCTTGTACTTATATCACCAATGGAAGTGAAACAAAGTTTTGAGATCTGCTTGTAAAAGTCAGACTGTTTCTCCAGTGCCCCACAAAAACACAGTGGTATCAACAACTAACAATGCCTTGTATCAGAGAAATACTGGCTCTCTACTTACATCTCTTAATTCCTAGCAAAGGAAATGCTCTATCTAGAGTGGCAACTTGCTCAATGAGGAGAAGTTGTTACACAAGGCTGATGATCTCATTCATAAGAGATATTTCACTCTAATGAGGGAGCTGGTAGCACCAGTAATGTTTGGATTGGAGCTACTCTCACATTCCTGCTTGGAAAAACCCACCGCTGTGTGTTGTACTAGGGAAATGTTACATGAACTGGAGACGTGCTCTGTGTTGACACAAGAGTTAGCTAAATGAATGTGGATGTTCACTCCTACTTTTAGGACAGAAATGGATGACTTGGCTTGGGTTTTTCTTGTGTCTTGTTTTTGATTAACTATTCAGTCCAGTAAATTTGCCTTGGAGCAAGCACACTAGAGGGTGTCATTAGACTATAGTGCAATTTTGACCACAGCAGCAATACCAACAAGTGATCAAAAAAAGAAGATTAAATGCCACATAGCTTCATGTTATCACAAAGATAAATGGTAGCATGATTCGTCTTGGGAGGACATAGGTTATTGCTGTTTTGGCCCATCTTGTCTCACATGAACATACAAGGCTTACTGCCAGGGGGTAGATAGACCACTTCCATGTGCAGGGTATTGGCCATCACACATATGCAACCAATCTCTGTCCAGGCTCGAGGCTTAAAAGATTTGCTTCACTAAACCTGAGCCCAGATCTTCAATCAGCAAAGGGTTAAACTGCGGAAATTTGGGCGCCATGGCAGATTTTGGGGTGATAAAAGGTGTTTGGTGTCTATTATAACTTTTAATGCGGTAGTGAGGCTGCTGCAGCTATGCATCAGAAATATGGTGTTGAGCACTGCAATTCACCCATGTGGAAACCTGCTAATTAATTCAATAAATGGCATGGCCAACTGTTCTTGCATGGCTATGCGCCAGCGCCGGCATTAGTCAATACCCACTGCTGAGATGTGCTGAATATCATGTGGGTTTGAGCCCATCAAGATTTTCCAGTCTCAAAGCAGATATTGCTGCCCAGGATTCAGGGCAAATGGAAAATCTTCCAAGAAACCAACAAGCAAATGAAAAGAAATCTTAATTTCTCTGATACAATGCACCTTACCCTTGAAAGAATTCTTCCTACAAGCCAACCCCACTGCAAACCAAAACACCGACAAACAGATCATGAGCACCATCAGACAAAATTAATAGCACTGATTATTAACAAGGGTTGGGGGGAGAAGAAGTGAGTTTGGTAAAACTAGGATGCTGCAAAAACGTATTAAAGAAAACAAATCATAACTCCAAGAACAGAAAGTCAACAACAACAACAAAAAAAAAAAAAAAAAAAAAAAAAAGGGAGGGAGGAAAGGGCAGAAACTCCAAACCAAACAAAATCAGGAGAGAGAGAAAGAGAAGAGATGGAATACGGTGAAATACAGGGAACGACAAGGTTAAGGGTTGATAAGTCAGCTGCAGGCCTGGCACAGCATGCGTAATACTGGAAGGAAACAGAGTGAAGAAATGCTTAGGGATAAAGAAAATAAAAGACTGAAGCTGAGTGTGAAGGGATTTCTCATACAGCATAACTTCTCACCTAGGCTAGTTAGTGGCATGTGGCCCCTTCCCGTTTCGCCCCTTCTGAAAGCACTTATTAGTTAGCCATGGAAATGGGGTATTATGAGGATGTAACAGGAAACAGGAGAATTGCGCTAAGCAGTATTTTGGGGCAAATTTGGAGTGCTCTCAGCACGTTGGGTCTTTGTTTTTGGGGGTGGGCCATGCTTTCAGCTGTTAGCTCGTGGAAGAAAAAGGAATAAATAAACATCAACTCCTTTTTTTTGCAGATGAGGAGGGAGAGGAGGAGGAAGTCATGGTGGGAAGGCAACGTGCTGGTTACGCTCAACCACCTTGCTCATGCCGTGGGGGCTACTGGGGCTTGTTGCAGGTCTCTGCCAGGCTGGTGTGACATTTGCAGAGCCCGTTAATGACATTCAGCAATGGGAAACACACTGAGCTTAAAGTGCTTGGAAGAAATTAATAGCAGCTGTGGGGAAAAGCCTGCAGAGAAATGTGTGTGCAGTGAGTGTTTAGCAATCGTTTTCGCCTGTTAAATATTAAAAATAACTTGAATATTTCTTTTCTTTTCCTAGAAAAAAGCTAGTAAAATGAGTTTTAAATCAAGATATTAAATCCTTCCATGTGCAGTCTTTCAGACATGCACATTATGCAATCAATTTCATGTCACCCTAATTTATATATAATTGATGGTATATAAGGTCTTAATTTCATTCTGTTTTAAAGTTTTTCACCTTACGATTGTCTGGGGATCTGTTAAACAATTCCGAGGAGTAGTTTTCAAGAGGCTGTTGAAAATGCTTAAAAAAAATCTTGCACAGTTACTGATAAAGTTTGATAAAGAGAGTATAATTTTAAGACTTTCTTTAAAAAAAAGATCTTAATTCATCACATATTAATGTAGCCATGTATCTTCTACTGCAATCTCATACTTACAACTGCAAATTACTATTATCTTGCAATAATAATCCAAATACTCTGGTTTGTGAGGGATTTTTTAAATTCAGATTTATGATGGGTGTTTTACAGTTCACAGATTAAGGTAATGCCATTTCCTGTGGGCATTTTCAATAAGTATGTAAGCTAATACTATTTGCAAAGGATCAGCAGCTAGTTCTTCTAAACCATTGACAATTCAAACTAAAACCAAGCGGGATTCCTACTGTCAGCTTACTCAAGAGATGCATTATGTGTATCCCTGATTACTAAACGTTCATCAGGTAAGTGTAGTCTATATATGAAGAGGATTTTAGCTCTCTTGTAAAACTGCTGCTCACTGTCAATGTTCTTGGTTGGGTGCAGTATGGACTTGTTACAGGAGATATTGAATGTACTTTCTGACTTGAGGATCTCGAGCTTGTGTGTAACCTTCTACTTAAATTCTTAAGTGGCTTTCAAGTCAGTGTCTATCTGCACGCCTAGTAACACACACACACACATATATGTATATATACATATATTTTCTGCATATGTATATGCATCTGCTTTAGCTACTTTACTCTGGATTTAGACATAAACCGTTACTTGGCTATCAGGGCTCAAAGCTGCAGAATTGTGGAATTTTGAGTGGCTTATCAGTTATAAGCTTATCATTTTTTTTTTTCTTATAGACTCTGTTAGCCACTTTGCCTAATGCATTCAGCAAGTATTTCCAAAATCCAGAAATCCTAGATGAAATTGTCAAAAGCAGATGCCAAAACTAGCCAAAATTACAACATAAAAAGGAAGGTGCAGTATCTTGTGATTACTTCTGTAGTTCCTGAAATATTTTATATCTGGACTATCCTGTCACTATTACCATTCTAGTGAGCTGACTGCTGCTCATATTTCCACAGGGGGTTGTTGTTATAGCTGTATGATCCCTTCTAAAGCATAAAGAAATTGGTTAGGAATTGAAAAGGGGTGGTGGAGGAAAAAAAAAAACGGGGGGAGGAATTATCTCTCAGACTCTAAATTCTGAAGACTAAAAGGAATGATTGGTCCATACCCATAAATTCAATCCCAAGATGCTCTGCCAATGCAGAAAGTTGACAAAAAAAAAAGAAAGAAAAAAGGAAAAAAGTTTCAGAAAAGAGCAATACACTGTACTCAAAAAACAAATCACACATGAGTATTATGGCTATTCTGTGTCTGCACATGGAACAGGACCTAGAGGGCATGTGATTACATGGGCAGTGCTCAAGTATGCCCTTGTAAGTGACATGACCAGAGCTTTTGGGAGGGCTACACACCAAAATATGTATAAGGTACCTGAGTAGGCACGATGCAGTGGGAACCATTAACCCTTAAAGATCTTACTGAGGGGAGCGGGACCATGGCTCAAGGGTGCCGTGTGAGAGCAGTTTCCAGGTGTGGCCATATAGGGAGAGGCATCCCTACCCAAAAGGGTTGAGCATCCTCTTCCCGTGTCTCTCCGAGTGCAGACCTGGTGCCTAAATCAGCTTCCCCAGCTCATCCAGGTCATGGGAAGGAACATGGGCCAGGTGGACAACCCAAACGGGCCATGGGAAGCACCCATTGCCTGGGGTGCTAGGAAGGTCTTGCTGACAAATCGCAGAGGGACAACTCCTGCCAAAATCCCCGTCCTCGTCCCATGGGGCCAACACCATGACCACTCTTGCTTTCAGCTTGTTCTTTTGTCCTCATTCGATTTTAATTTTAAATCCAATCCTAATTTGCTGACTGGGTGGATTTTTTAAACAGTTTGTATGCATCAGGAGTGCCCACACTGTCCTGCCAATCAGTAACATTTTAAGGGTTAAATAAGCTTGAATTCATCCAGATCTATTCCTAAAGAGCCAGTATTACATGCCTATGTGAACATTGCTAACAGTATACATTAGTTGCATAGAAAGCTTGGTTAAGTCTTCAATAAAATGAATGACATGCCCATGCATCTATATTACTGTATTTATGCTTGCTTATAGGCAAGACTGCTAGCTGGATGTAATTTAATTTTGGGGGAAGTCATTCATATCATGCAGTTTCTATTTCAAATAATTCAGTGGGAACCTGGAACTTAAAATGGGAATATATTCTTACTAAAAGCCCTAACAAGAAAACATGCTGAAGAAACATGCCATGCTTATTCAAAACTAGACTCCATAAAGCTCTAATTATACTTTGTTATTAATAGCTACATTTCCTAGTCCTGATTAAAAGAAAACAGAGTATCCCAACACTTTTCATTCTTTGAACAGGTTATTATTTTGGTGTTTTCCTACTTAATCCAGTATTATTGCATATTTATTAAATTCATTGTGTTTCCTATTGTAAATTTGGTCTGCAGCTTTAATGAGAAATATAATTATTTTTAACAACAGCTTTCCTTCTATATGCTTTTTGGGGGCAGCTGCAGATTGGAAATGCTGGAAGAAGTTTCCTGAAGGTGCATATTGTGTTCATGAACTGTGTCCCTAAGCTGCTAGGCACCCAAGATGTAGGGATGGCCAGTCTAGACCATCAGGTAGCCACTTAGCCCTGAACCTGGGCCTGGATGGGCTGGATGCTCCAGCCATGCAGAGCAGCATGGCTTTGTGTGGACACAGCCTCCATGGGTTTTATTATTAATTTAGTTCTCTGCATCATAAATAATTCTGAAAATTCAGCTTTTATGAAACTTGGGTTGAGAACAACGTAGGATACACAGAACCATCTCAAGCCAAAACCCCTACATGTTGGCCAGCAGTGCTTGAGGATACCTAATGCCCTCATTTGGGTTGGCATAGGCAATTTGAACCCTAAGTCTCAATCCGTTTACATGGTAGGCTGAAAAGATTATTTTTAACCTGGCATGCAAAGTCCTACAGCTCCTCTATAAACTTTGCTCTAAAATGAGTTCAAATCTCAGAAATCAGAATAGGTCATTTTTAAATAAACCCCCATATTTTATTATAGAATTTCATGAACATTACCTGAAATATTTATAGTGAAAAACTGTCTTCCTCTTAATCTTGGGCAGAAGATGGACAAAATTATTTTTCAAATTACTTGTATCACTTTGGAGTTTTGGTCTCAGCAAATGAAGGGTGCATCAAGAACTGGAAATTTCACATAATATTATCTAATACCTCCAAAATATATGATCACTTTAGAATTATGTAGAATGGAGCCAATCTTCTGAACTAGTACACATGCTGAATGCAGGACTTTTCAAGTCCTGCTGGAAATACTGAAAATTGAGGCTGTTGAGCTGAGCTACAGCTGAAATGCGGTCACCCCTTTAGTACATCACAGCCTTACTCATCTCTCATCCAAATACCCCTTTAATTTGTCAGCCAAGCAAGTCTGGAGGAAATGAAGCAGGAGTTATCACCTAAACAGGAATTTCCCTCTGCTTTTCCTGGATGGATTGTTCAGCAAGAATGGCAGGGCTGAAAGGGAGCACTGCTTAGACCAGTGTCCCATGATGAAATATTCAACTTTAGGAATGCAGGAACAATTTTGAATATTCAGTCCCTGTATGAGGATGCTTAGAGTAAGCCCCATGTGATGTTGCATCTTATAGCACAGATATATATAATGCTAACCAGCACTAACCATATAGTAACCAGTAAAGTAAAACAGACCCCTTGGAAAGGGGTCCTTGGCCCATGTGGGACACACTGGAAGGATAAGGATTTTACCCCCAATTGTGCTCTAGTGCCTTCAATATTTTCTTAATCTAAGGCTCCCCATTTTTTCTGAATCCAAGGACTATTCTGCACAGTGTAAAAAATCAGCCTGAACTTCTAATGTTAAGGCATTAATTTTATTGCCCTCCATTTGCTCTGCTTTGTTTCCATCAAGTGTGAAAATTAAAACACCCAAAATGTGTCTGTGTGGAATACATGCATTTTTGCAGCCCTTCTGCGGACCACTTTCTGATGTCTTATGGGCTGTAAGCTCCAAGGTCAAAACCACTGCAGCATAAAAACAGCTGGTGCTCTGGCATCACCCAGGCCACGCGGATGCGGCACGAACTGCTGGCCAGCACCCACGCAGCAGATTTGCACATATCCCCTGCTGTGCCTCTCCAAAATCCACCCGTCCTCACTTGGAGAGACTGGGGAAAACACTGCGTGTCAGACTGGGATGCTCTGCTCAAGGGAAGGGCGTTCCAGCACGGTTTCTCCTTCATTCCCTCTCATCTGCAGTGTTGGGGAGGTAAAAGTGAGGACCCGCATAGCTGCAGTGCTGGAGGTGACTGCAGCAGGGTGAGAGGAATGGCTGTCACCTCCTCACCTTGATGCTTTGCCCTATAATTTAATGTAAACCAGCTTGTCCAGGGACTGTCAGCCTCAACATGTGCCCGCCATGAGTTTCTCTCATGCCCATTCCCAGCCACATTCTTCCCGTGGCAGAAGTGAAAAACATTTCTTAAATTTTCTTGATTTTCAAGAGCTCTAGCTTGGTTATTTTTTTCAGTCTCCATAACCAAATTCTCCAGAGCTAAACTAAGTAATCCCAAGAGAAACCGGTTAGCCTTGCAACATGTTGGGGAGGATTTTCAAAATGGTCAGCGTTGGTCTAGTTCTTATCCAGCAAAAGGCCACCAGCAAAATTACGGTTAAATCTGGGACTTTGTATTACAAAGACCGGCTCTAGAGCAGATTTGTGAAGCTAGCTTTTTATCAACAGCCAAAAATGCAGCCTTAAGGTAGCAACAGATAACGCCTCACATGGAGTCCCATTGAACCTTCTGTTCCAAATGGAAAAAAAGTCCCATCTGAAATCAATTAAAATTAGACAGTACTGTATAGTTCACATGCACATTTGTGTTTCCTGCTGGCACTTGCTTTATTTAACATCCTGGTTTTATCTATAATTTGCCAAAGCTGCTTTGGTAGATCTAAATAAAATCAATCACTTGCTACACTTGGTGCAAAATATGAACTTGCCTTTCAGCCCCAAATCAAATGTATGCCTGGAGAGAACTCTCATTCCAAGTCTCCTTTTTAATTGTGTGCCCTGCTTGTGTTTTGCATAATAATAAAAAGTCACATAAATGCTTCTTCATTGATTTTTCTGCACCCTCCCTGGATCCCTTCCAAAAATGTCATTTTAAGGTCTGCAGCAACTTCAGAGACCTGACGTTATGCTGCAGATGTGCGGCAGGCAGGTGGAGCTGGAATCCAATAGCCACTGCTGCGGATTTGCAGAGCAGCTTAAGGTAGTTTGTTGGGTCCTCTCATGTCACTGCATTGCAAGGAGATGTTGGCTGGACTGGCTTAAATGCCTGCAACTGAGCATATCTCCTGCTGCAAGGGGAGAATATCATTGCCTTTTTGATAGAGGCTACTTCATGAAATCCCATGGTGTGTACTGCCCAAATATTCCTTTAAAAATCTCAGGCAGAGAGAGGGAACTGAAAAACTAACGAGATGGGGAACTCAAATCTCTTTTTTTTTTCTAGGAAGAAAAATAATTTATCATCTATATACACTTCTTTCATGGTTTTAAGGGTAAATCGAGTTTCAAAAAAAAATGAATCTTATCTTTTTTCACCATTTACTTCAAAATGGTTCTTCTATGTATAGGAAACTTTAATTTTACTTTTCATCACACCAAACATAAAAGGCCATTCAAATCTAACACTTGATAGAATAAAACATTTTAGTAGCCTAAATATTTTTGAATCCATAGGTACCAGAAGCGCTTTAAAAATAACTCCCACTAATAAAGCTTTTAAAAGAGGGAATAAAATAAACACTTGAATGCTAGAAGGTCTAATCTCCAGCCCTTGGGAATTTCATGGTTTACTTCCATGATGGGCACTATGAATTATGCATGGACATTTTTCATCCATCAGTGTAAAAGAAAACCTATGCATCTCTTCAGGCTCCAAAATGTCCAGCACATGCTAACAGCTTTTTATCCTATGCAGTAATGGAAATTAAATTAAGCTACCCTATAGTCTCTGAAATCTTTCCATGCTGGCAAGCAATCCATCAAAGAAAATACTTCCTATTGTACTCCTCTTAGATCATAGTAAAATCTGATGCCAACAACAATTAATTATGAATAATATACATGAATTAAAAATATAAAATATAAGCAATTTTCTTATGTTTTACCTTTGATTTTATTAAAGCCAATGAGAGAAAATAAATGTTCAGTGTACTTTCTGCTATGGCACTGACAATTAATAATAATTAACCAGTCCCTCCATGGGAAATCTTACACGATGATCTGACTGCAGTGCGGATTCTACCAGCAGTCTCACACAGACAGATTTCTCCCTTTTGGTGTGTGTGCTTGTGTGTGTGTTGAGCTCCAAAGGGGGTCTATATGGCACATTTCTTGGGCCAATTAATCTGGCTCTGAAATACTGGATCTCTTGCACCTGCCACCCACAAATAAAAAATGTCAGTCCCTGTTGTTTATGACCTCCCTCTCTTTTCTTTTTCTTTTTCTTTTTCTTTTTCTTTTTCTTTTTCTTTTTCTTTTCTTTTTCTTTTTCTTTTTCTTTTTCTTTTTCTTTTTCTTTTTCTTTTTCTTTTTCTTTTTCTTTTTCTTTTTCTCTTCCTCTCTTTCTTTCTTTCTTTCTTTCTTTCTTTCTTTCT